ATGTAGATTGCTTAAATCCATTTATGGACTGAAGCAAGCATCGCGGAGATGGAACATCTGTTTTGATGATGCTATCAAAGAGTTTGGTTTCATCAAAAATCCAGATGAACCGTGTGTGTATAAAAGGATAATTGGGAGTATAGTATCGTTTCTTATTTTGTATGTAGACGATATACTCTTAATCGGTAATGACATACCGTCATTATAAGCAGTTAAAATTTGGCTATCAAAAAGATTTTTCATAAAAGATTTGGGTGAAGCATCCTATATACTGGGTATTCAGATCTATAGAGATAGATCTAAAAGGATATTAGGATTATCCCAATCTAGATACATTGGCAAAGTGCTAAAGCGGTTTAGCATGGAAAATTCCAAGAAAGGTTTTGTACCTGCATCTCCTGGAATCTCGCTCTCTAAAAAGATGTCTCCCCAGACTGATGAAGAGAGGAAACGCATGAGTCTAATTCCTTATGCCTCGGCAGTAGGATCGATCATGTATGTCATGTTATGTACTAGACCAGATATCGCTTATTCACTCAGTTTGATAAGTAGATACCAATCTAATCATGGAGAAGAGCACTGGAAAGCGGTCAAAAATATACTTAAGTATCTAAAAAGGACTAAAGAGTTATTTTTAATATATGGTAAAAGTGACCTCCAAATGGAGGCCTTTTCCGACTCTAGCTTTCAGAGCGATATCGATGATAGTAAATCTGTTTCAGGATATGTTTTTACCCTCAATAGAGGGGCTGTCAGTTAGAAAAGTTCTAAGCAGGACACAGTAGCAGACTCTACTATGGAAGCCGAATACATTGCGGCAAATGATGCAACCAAAGAAGCTGTCTGGATGAGGAAGTTCCTTTCAGAGCTGGAAGTTGGTCCCACCACCATTAAAAATCCAGTACCTTTATACTGTGATAGTAATGCTGCAATAGCTCTGACAAAGGAACCCCGGTCTCACCATAAGTCCAGACACATTCTGAGGAAGTATCACTTGATCAAGGAGATAGTTGATCGCCAAGAGATCAAGATTGAAAGAGTTGACACAAAAGATAATATAGCAGATCCATTCACAAAGGTAATTGCTCGTACACAATTTGAAAAACTTGTTGAGCTATTGGGTATTAGATACTACAATGATTGGCCTTAGTGCAAGTGGGAGTTTGTTGGATATAGGTGCCCTGCAGGCAATAATTGCATATTGTAATAAGACCTATATGAATATAACATCATTGTTTAAAATAATAGTATGCTATTTTGGTCAGATTTATCTGATATTTTAATACAGATAAAGTCCTTAGAATGATACTAGACTATCAGACATTTCGGATATGATCGTAATGAAGAGATCTGATTTGTCGCTAACGTATATTCTAAAATGTTCCTAGTCGATGAAGTGATGTAATGGGACATGATCACTTTGGTAAGACTAGTGTATACTTTATTTCTCCTTTGGAAGGATGATGATCCATCTCTTAGATCATTGATGTGAGACATCAAGATATAGTATACAGGTGACTCATTAGTGAATGAGTTGACTGAACGACTCACTGAGAACATCTAGTTGGTAATTATACTTAACTGTCAAATAGAAGTTCTCAAGTGATATAGTACATAGTAGTCTCATGACCTGAGGCATGAGTGCAATATCTTACATGTCAGTATAGGTGTACTTAGACTTTTACCTAACCACAGTTCTCATCGAGTTGTGCATAACGGTTCTTGTTGGGTACATCCCGAGGCATAAGTAGATATTGAGATGCCAAGATGGGATTCGTCTCTCCCAGTATAGGGGGTTGATGTCATAAGATTGTTTGATATAACTATAACCTAAAAATCCTTGGCCGAGGTAAATAAGATAAACTGAGTGTCAGTTTTGATCTTATAGGTTATGAGTTTAATATCTACAAACACTAATTGAGCAATTAGGGTTTGACAGTTTTCCATACCCTAGGCTTAATAGTTTGACATGGTTTGACGAAGAGACCGGACTGTACGGCATTATCATTGAGTGGTCCTGATAAAATTATGTAAGCATCTTGCAAACATTTATCACAACTTATACCCGGGTAGTCTTAATGTATAGCTAACACCTCTGTTGTACTTGTGGATATGATCCACTACCGAGTTATTAAGTTGGGCCCTGGAGTCACACCAAGCGCGTACTTGAATCCTATGAAACACAATTTATAGAGTGATGCGTATGATTGATACGCAAATATGATTTTACCGGATACACATAAACAGTTATGTATATCGATAAAATCGGAATGCTATGTGCTTAGAAAATGAATTCTAGTATTTTCCTATAAAGTTAACTTTTAGTCAACTAGTTGACTTTTTGGTCAACAGTTGACTTTTGGTCAACTCATTGACTTTTTGGTCATATGATGACTTATTAATCAATGATTGGAAAATTACAAAATATCGTATTTATGAAATACAATATTGATTTGGTATTCTCATTTATGAAATACACATACCATGTATAATGAGTCATGAGATGAGTCATTTAGTGGTATGGTTTGAGCACATGGTTTATTAGCACATGGTTTTGAAATGTAATGATTCATGAGATGATTCATTGCATGACTCACTAGATTAATCATTGATATTTGATGATTCATTGCATGACTCATAGGATGAGTCATTCATGTCATGAACACATTCCACTCTATAAATATGAGCTCTCTTTCTTATGGAAAGGTTAATGAAAAATTGGCTAAGTGGTTTTTTCCATAAGAGAATAAAAGAGAGCTCTCCTTTTACTAAACTTTAGCAATCTTTGAGCGAGAGAAAGTAGTAGGATTTTAAGAACCCCGGGGTAGATATCTTGCCTTGTGTCTCAAGAAGACTCCTATTTTATCAAGCCCACTTGAAGACTTGGAGATCCACTACGAGGAGATTTTCTACTACAAGGAGCAAGAACTAGGGGTTATTCGATCTTCCATCGAATCACGCTTCGAAAGTATGACTTTTTAACTCTTGAATGCTCTCTTTAATGTAGGGATTATGTTAGATTTAATTAAGATGGTCCTATTATATATTTCATGCTCTCTACATGCTTAGCATAATTATACATATAGTCTTCCGTTGCGTATTTTGCATGTATTTAGCATGAATTTCCTTCAGGCACAACACAGTCTTGCAGGCGGACTTCAGAACATGGGTTTGAGAGATATTAGCGTTTTTTGTCAATTTTTTGAACTTCTTTACTAGGAATCAAGATAATTTTTATTGCCTACAACCTTCACCGCAAATCCTGATATCTTTACATTTGTAATTGATAGTTCGTTTAAAGCAAAATGAGTAAATTAGAAAAATCTCCTTATACTGATAGAAATCATGCTAAGGTTTTCAAAGTACAGACTAAAATGATATATTTGTGTTTATTGAAAATCGTAATATTTCATAATGACAAAAAAAACTTCTACAATATGGTTAGGTCTCC